CGCCCATGTCGGCAGGGCTGTCTGGCCGTGAACAGAGACACTGAGGCTGAGTTGCTCTGTGTGCAGTTGACCTGCGAGAAGGCATGAGCTGTCCTTTCTCCAGCACAGGCCCATCTACACGAGTCTCCTGGCTGTGCAGGTGGTTCCCGGGCGGATCGGACGTGTCCTCATCATCCCGATGGTCCTGCAGAGGGGCTCCCTAACCCACTGAGCCTTTTCGAAGATAGATTTTTTAGGTGAGAAATAACATCTCTGTAGAAGGAGACACCTGTCTGTCTGTTTTCCCTTAGGGAGCGGAGAGTATCACCACGTACACGTTCAACACTCACAAGGCGCAGCATACCTTCTGCAAGAGATGTGGGGTGCAGAGCTTCTACACCCCCCGCTCCAACCCCGGTGGCTTCGGTGAGTAACGGGAACGGCACAGCTCGGGGGACACCCAGCCACCGGGCTGCCCGGGGCACATCTGGTTAGCAAAGTGGGCACTGCGTGCTCGGCTTGCCCCTGCGTGGCGAGACCATCCCGCATGCCTGTTTCAGAGGAACAGACAATGGGACGGAAGCCTGGCTCTGGTCGGTCAGATGCCAGTCCCGTCCTGACCTCATCCTGGTGCTGCCAGCGCTGCCTCACGGGGCTGGCACTGAGGGGACAGCGAGCAGGGGAGAGATGGGGGGGCCTGTGGGAAGGGGGGTAACAATGGTGGTTACAGGGATAAGGAAGGAAGATCGAAGAGCATTGATAATGCCCTTCAAACTTTTTGGTTCAAAACAGAAACAGGAGAACTCCCCAAAGTCCCTCTTCCGGTCCTACTTGATCTGGAGGCAGAAATGGCCTTTAGACGGTTGTTCAGAACGACGCCCCTTGCCATGTGAATTGAAGCAGCGGTGGGGACGTCCCACAGGGATCTCGTTCCTGTGGAGGCGCAGCCTCCAGGACTGGGGCAGCTGGGCCGTGTCCTTGCCTCGCGGTGGGGAGGGCAAGGCACCACCTTGCTCTTGTGCGCTTTTCTCAGAGCAGCTGCTGCTGGTTCCCATGCGTCACCTGGTGGCGCCTTTTCCCTACCACGGAGCACAGGAAGGCTTTGGACAGTGTCAACTCCCGTACAGATGGGGTGGCATTTAATGCTTAGAAGCCACCTGGCTTGGCCAGAAAAGGCCTGTGAATTCTGCAGACTGTCAGTCAGAGATGGGTCCAGGCGGAGCCTTTCTGCTCTGTACTCAGCCGGTCCTGACGGATGGCCCGCCGTGGCCTCCCTGGCTGAGGAGGCTGATCCCCGTCTCAGAGACAAGCCAAGTAAGCAGGACCCTGTAGGCTCACATGCAGCCCAGTGATGCTCGCAGGTGTGGGTTTGTCCAAGAGCCAGTAGAGCACCTGGTCTCACTCATACTGGGGACCCCTTTCTCTGTGCCACTTCCCCCAGGAATCGCCCCACACTGTCTGGATGAGGGCACTGTGCGGAGTATGGTCATCGAGGAATTCAATGGCAGCGATTGGGAGAAGGCCATGAAGGAGCACAAGACCATCAAGAACATGTCTAAAGAGTGAGCGCCCGCTCTCTCCCTTTCTGGAAAGGAGGAATGATGGGGCCAGCAGCATGGCTGCCCCCCTCTGCCTCGGTGGTGCCGGCGAGCATGGCTGCCCCAGACTGCCGGGCTCAGGCCGGCCACCAGCTCCCGCTCTGCCCTTGACTCCAGCTACATTTCCTTAGGCAGCTCTTTGTCCTCCGTCAGCCTGGACTTTGATGTAGACTAGTTGACATCCTCTTTCTCTTCCCAACTTTTGTGTGATCTTTTAGAAAAATAAATATTTTAATATTAAAGCAGTTACAGTGATTTATAATTTTCTTTGTCCTTTGATTTTGCTTCTGATTATAAGTCTTTTACCTCCTTGGTTAAGTTTATTCCTAAGTATCTTAATTTTTTTGTTGCAAAGGTAAGTGGGATTGTTTGTTTAATTTCTTTTCTGAGAACTCATTATTGGTGTATAAAACAACCATAGACTTTTGGGTGTTGTTTTTGTATCCTGCTACATTGCCAATTTCATTTATTAAATCTAGTAGTTTTTTGGTGGAGTCTTTAGGATTTTCTATGTCCAATATCATATCACCTGCGAATAATGAGTTACTTCCTCCTTTCCAATATGGATGACTTTTAATTCTTCTTGTCTGATTGCTGTGGCTGGGACTTCCAGTACTATGTTGAATAAGAGTGGTGAAAGTGGACATCCCTGTCTTGTTCCTGTTCTTAGGGAAAATTGTTTTAGTTTTTGCCCATTGAGTATGATGTTGGCTGTAGGTTTGTCATATATGGCCTTTATCATGTTGAGATATGCTCCCTCTGTTCCCACTTTGCTAAGAGTTTTTATAAAAATGGGTGTTGGATTTTGTCGAATGCCTTTTCTGCATCTATTGATATGATCATGTGATTTTTGTCTTTCAGTTTGTTTATGTGATGTATCACATTTATTGATTTGTGAATATTGTACCAGCCTTGCATCCCTGGAATGAATCCTACTTGGTCATAGTGTATGACCTTTTCAATATATTTCTGGATCTGATTTGCTAATATTTTGTTGAAGATTTTAGCATCTATGTTCATCAGGGATATTGGTCTGTAATTCTCTTTTTTTTTTGAAGTGTCTTTATCTGGTTTTGGAATGAGGATAATGCTGGCCTCATTAAAGGAGCTTGGAAGTATTCTTTCCTCTTGGATGTTTTAGAATCGTTTGAGGAGGATATTGTGTTAGTTGTTCTTTGAAGGTTTGACAAAACTCCCCTGTGAAGCTGTCCAGATGCAGGCTTTTGTTTGCTGGAGCTTTTTTGATGACTGCCTTCATTTCATTAGTTTTATTGGCCTATTCAGGTTTTCTGATTCCTCCTGATTCGGTTTTAGAAGAATGTATTTTTCTAGGAATTTGTCCAGTTCATCCATATTGTCCAGCTTGTTGGCATATAGTTTGTTTTTTTAGTCTCCATGTCATTTATTTCTGCTCTAATCTTTATTATTTTTTTCTTCTACTTACTCTAGGCTTTTCTTGTTGTTCTCTTTGTAATTCTCTAAGTTGTAGGGTTAAGTAGTTTATTGTTAATTTTTCTTGTTGTGTTTTTTGAGGTATGCCTGTAACACTATGAACTTCTCTCTCAGGACTGCTTTTGCTGTGTCCCAGAGATTTGGGGTTGTTGTGTGTTCATTTTAATTTGTTTCCAGGAAGTTTAATTGTTTTTTTTAGACATTAAAAAGTAATACATACTTTTTTAATTTCAGAGAGGAAGGGAGAGGGAGAGAGAGAGAGAAACATCAATGATGAGAGAGAATTATTGACGGGCTACTTCCTGCACACCCCCCAACCCCCCCACTGAGCTCAAGCTCTCAACCCATGCATGGCCTGACCGGGAAACAAACTGCAACCTCCTGGCTCATAGGCCAACGCTCAGCCACTGAGCCACACTGGCCGGGCCCATCTTAATGTTTTTTAAGTGTATAGTTCAATAGTGTTAAATGCATTCACATTGTGCATCCAATTTCCAGAACTGGTTGTCTTGCAAAACTTAACTTCTACAAGTTACCCATTAAACAACAAGTTAGAATCTACATTTTTAAAGGAAGCAAGATTTAGAAAGATAGATGGGAGAAGCAACTATGAACAGGTATGGGCACATTTTAATGACAGGTGAATTGGACACTTGTGATGGAAGAAGTAATAGAAGAGAGCAGAAAAGTATGTTGAAGTCAGACTATGGACTGTCCTAGATATTAGGTTCAGGAATTTGGCCTTCATTTCACAGGTATTGGGATCCCTGTACAGCTTTGAACAGGATAAAGAAAGCTTGGCCTGTTATGCACTCTCCTTTTTTCTTTTCTAAGTTAAGTGTGTGTGTATGTGTATTTTTTAAAATATATTTTATTGATTTTTTACAGAGAGGAAGGGAGAAGGATAAAGAGTTAGAAACATCCATGAGAGAGAAACATCGATCAGCCGCCTCCTGCACATCTCCCACTGGGGATGTGCCCGCAACCCAGGTACATGCCCCTG